AGCAATACCGTTTCTTGGAGCTAGAGCGAGAGGAACCCTATGTCCTATGATCTGCCCTAGCAATACCGTTTCTTGGAGCTAGAGCGAGAGGAACCCTATGTCCTATGATCTGCCCTAGCAATACCGTTTCTTGGAGCTAGAGCGAGAGGAACCCTATGTCCTATGATCAAAGGCCTTACTAAAATCTAAGAATATACATATACATAACAAAATTGACGCAAACTTCCCTACCATTCTTAAATCATCAATCAGTGCATGTAAACATTCAATGATTCATTTAGGCAAGAAGACGAACAACTACACAACATAAACATGGGTTTCGCCCCTGGTCGCCTACCACGCGTCACAACCACTCACAACGCCTCCTACCGGCCCATTTGCCGAAGTCGCGATTAGAGCACTATTTGATATAGACTGGTTCTCGCTCCCACCTCGATTACTCAATAGTACTACCCCATCGAGTAACTAAGCCGAGAGGTGGGACCGGGTACCAGTCTATATATTTTATATTTCTTTGTTATACTTGATTTTCCTTATAATTAAAAACCCTTTAGCATAATATAGTCTAAATTTTCATTTTTAATAATTTAGCGGTAGATATTATAATGTAGGTCTAAAATTTTGAAACTGTTGCAATTTTAAATTCGAAAATTGGCTCCGCTATGCCCGCCACCCCCTAGCTTGTAATAATGGCAGCAGCCAAGTACATGTACATGTATGACAGCAAACTTAGCCATCCGGATATATTATCTTACGCGACGTATCACTATGGTCCACTATGGAGTATGGGCACGTTGTTCTCACACACTCCTCACGGATGTGTGAAGAGAATACAGGATATATTTCTGCGTCGCACGGGCTGTATCACTGAGCTACGTGCCACTAAAAACTGTATACAATAACAAATGCTAATAAAGCAAAGAAGATAAAGCAAAGAAGCAATAAAACAAATGCTAATAAGCAAACAAACACCTAACACATAGATCGACTAACGCATAAGACATTTTTATAGAAATTAATGTTCCCGCAGTAAATCAAATTAAAATCATGTACCTATAATGCACTAATGTATTATTGAACGTTAAATAATAGCGTCTGCTATATAATATATAAATATTTATAAATTCAAATTCAATATATAAATTCAAACAGGCCTAGTACGTACGTGACATTAGACTTTGGTAAAGCCTTTGATACTGTACCACGCAAGAAATCCCCATGCTAACGTTAAATACAATATACAATAACTAATTAATTAACCATAAAAGCATTTTATATATAAATTATCAAGAGTCCATTAACCCCGAAGAAGCACTCCCATGTAATTAGGTCTCAAATCGTGAATCCTC